CCATAACAAGCAGGGGCGGTGCAGAAAGATGCAACTTGGGATGGGTCCCCAAAACTCTGCATCTCTGGACGCTTCCCCTATTCTTGACCATGAGAGTTGCGTCATCGACCAGAGTAGAGACGCAGAGTTTTAGGGATCCATCCTCGAGTTGGGCCTTGCTGCACCTGGCCCCACCCTACCCAGTTGCAACTAATGTGTACCGAGATTTCAATTTCTATTAGGTATCCTATAAACTCCCCACTTCTCCGACTTCATGATCATCTCAAGGTGCACATAAGGCGCATTGAGTCATGGTGAAACCAAACAATCTACACCAGGCAATTCTGAAAATCAGCTACGGAACCCAAGAACTGATCGAGAGTTGGGGATGCGACACCTTCTTATGAACGAAGCAACTGCTACCATTGTAGAGATAAAAATGGTCCTAAAGAGGTAGCCAAATGGTTGTGTGGCTGAATAGCGTGGTGACGGGGGTGGGGTGATGGTACATGGCGTCGCTACCACACGCGTGGCCGGAGAAGCAGAATCCTATTCTTAGGCCGAAGTTCGTCACCTTGACAGAATGAACCTTCCATCCCAGTTAAAAATTTAACTGCGTTGTAGAGAGGATTGATCAATTTTAAGCGCTCCGATTTTCTGATTAATGACAATCAGCATGAGTACAAACCAGTGCTTTTATCCTTCCAAGTGAAGCTGCTGTTAGATAACCGCTATTAAGGAGATGGGGCATTCTTAGGGAGCTTGGAATGGATGCAATCCACGAACACTGCATAGCTCCCAGTTCATGTTTAGATGTTGTAAACGAGTAGGAATATGATTGGTGGGAGCGCATCCCGCCTTATGATTGACATTCCTCCCTCGTTAGCTAACCTAACGCTAACGCTAGGCAAGTTACTTTTGCAAATTTCCCTTTTACTCCGTCGCTCCGCTACATTGGGCTGTATCTGCAGCTAGGTAAACAACGGTCCCACCATCATATGCATAACATTATATTATCCAAATAATTTTCGGTATTTTGGGCGGTGAAGTTCATCTTATTAAATTTTGTATGAACCTCAGTTAAAGGTTATTCATGGCTACTTCTTAAAACCGCTGACGAAGTCCGCGGCAACAATCTCGGGCTATGCCTCGACGCAGGTCGTCTTCTTTGGAGCCTGAAAGGCAGGAGGGCAAGATTGTCATGATCGTCATGCTGAGGCTACGATGTGTTGTACGGTACCATAATTTCGAAAACGCTGCTTATCGGGGACCAAATCTTCGATTGTACATCGTTCGTGCCTACCCAGCCTTCCATCCCACCGGGGTCGTCGCATTCAAATTGGTCAAGATTCTGAAAAATAAGTGTAGTATGCGTGGCGCATCTAAAAATGAGTTCGATCAATGCCAAAATTTTCCTTTTGATTTAGCATGGAGCACCAGGAACATGAAATATCATTAAATCTTTAGTTGTATACTTCACCGGATAAGCCGATCGCTAGAGAGTACTGCGAGTGGTGATTTGGCAAGTTGAAAGTGTTAATGGGTGAAACATCTTGCCCGCAACATAGCTCGTTCAACACGCGCACGAGCTTAAGTCTAGCCAAACAAGAAAATAATGAACCGTCAATCCTGCTTTCGGCCCACTAGACGACTCCAGTGGCTCATATTCCTTCTTTGAAGGCAAAAACCGGGATGCCCAGACGCCCTAGAGAAAGTTACGCGGGGAAGTTTTGGGCGCGTATGTGCTTCATGATCACGCCAGCTTCATTGCCCAAATTGCGTAGTGAGAGCGCTGATCCATTACGAACCTGCAATCATCGACCCTCGCTGCAACGCTTCCCACCCACATCCGATTGACGTAGAGATCAGCCTGCTCTCTCGAACGGTGTGCTCTCTCGCGTGTTTTGTCTTCTCTGATCGCGCTGTATCACCATCGTATCACATCCGACCTTACTAAAGGTTAAGGCCTAATTTAAGCGTTTACAAAATTTCTCTCGGCTTCCTCCCATTTTCCAGGTCGTTTCCCACAACCATCATCCTCACTCTTACAAGCGCTCTGTATCCCCACTTTCATCCCGGCCGCTTGCCTTTAATGTATGCACCATACGACCAACCCTTCTACTTTGAGTACAACAGGTTTTTTTTGTCTTTTATTTGCATTCCAATTTTAATAAACTGATCTCTGTTGTCGCAAAACTACGGGTGAGGGCCCATTGATTGATGCTGGGCCTATTCGATATTATGTTGTGCTTTATGGAAATGTGAGCAAATAGTACTGCGACCTCAAACTAATCATTATTTCACAAACCTACCAAACATTCGATACAACCCTTGTTTATTCCATAAGTGCGGCATGTTTAATGGCAATGATCACGATTTCTGAACGACTTGCTGTCTTGGTAACGTCACTGAACGTCAACAGCCTCAAAGGCAAGCTCTGGGCTCAGCCTCACTGAAACAGTCGCTCTGTTGCGTAGAGGTGTGTGGTTCGCTGCAGAGTCGGGCCACCTTCGCACATGGGAACGCCTGAATAAGACTAGGCGCTAAAGACTTGGATCAAATCCCGCCAAATCCGTCAGGGTTTGATATCTTATCTGCGTCACAATGTTGATCTGCTATGTTCTCTCTACTCGTACTTCTCTTACCCTCTCGGCGACTCACACTATCTCTCATCTCCGAGTCTATGAGTTAAAAAGATTCAGTGATGAGAGCCCCACCAATTTACAGAATCTGATGGTAAGAAACGACCGCTACTCGATTACTCCATCAACATTATCACACTACCCTCTGTTTCAGAAAACTAGAAACGCGTCGAGTGCAGACCATACATCACAACTGACGCCGAACCTCCACAAAATGTATTTTCTGAAAATGAAATGATTAGCCTCTTGCAGTTGTATTCTATCAGTTGTCACTAATGCCAACTCACTATCAACTATCACTATAAATCACTAGTTACCAGATTTACTTGGAGGCCGTCGTCACTTGTGGTGTGTGGTCTGCACTCGACGCGCTTCTGCTTTTCTGAAACAGAGGCTGAGCGTAAATATAGTCGTACTTGTAAATGTCTACTTTTAGAATAATTTCTGAGATTTTAGAAAACCGGATCACCATTCCCAATAATTTTAAATGACTCCCAGTTCACTCACAGTCCTCATTCGGGAAGTTTTTTTAGCAAAGACTTCTTTATGCTCGCTTTCCCCTCCCCCCTCCCCCCAGCCACCGTCTCACCAAAATACATAGGCCATGCGAAGAACTTAGTGCAGGTAGTCTAAATTCCTGCCTTTGCACTCCCGCTCAGTGCATGTCCAGGAATTTCCTGTCCGCCATTGATCTGTTTACCGTGTCCGGTAATCTGTATCATCCGGGTGGAATGTCAGTCAACTGGATTATGACTTTAGCATCATGCAACCGTCGTTCTATCGTGCTCACGTACGTTTCCAGACGTCGCCACCCGATTCCAGCTTTTCTCCCAGGAACCTTTCTTTATGGTGATGCGATGGGATCAATCACTGCCAATCGGGAGTTGTTCAGCGTCATTGAACCACTAATTGACATTGTCAGGCACACCCTTCGCGTCTTTGGGCGCGATCTCAGGTTACAATTGGTTCCTCCTCGGAAGACAATGCGTGACACGACACTTCAAGTTGTCCTATTCATTCACGCACTTTGCCCTCGTACCGTACTCCTTGGGTTTCCCCTGTGTCGTTTTCCGCTAGGCAGCCTCCTTCGCGCTCAAATTTATTTAGTCAGCTGCCAACTGTCTGTCATTCGAACAAAAAATGTATGAGGTTCTTCCCATTTTCCCTGTCTTGAGAGCACTCTAACGCGGGTTATTTTCAAGCACCTGTGGGTGATCGTAGTGGATTTTCTCGGCCCCGTGCTTGTGGTCGTTGTGAGAGCTGCGCACTTCCTGCCTCCAATGTATGTACACAGTGTGCTTTTCAGCTTCTACCACCGCTCGCTCGTCGATGCGTACGATCGATACCGTATTTGTTTTTCTGTATATTTTCTACCCAAATTGGGTATCCGGCAGTGAAGACGAATACCGACTGATTCAAGATCTTCGTACCAATTACGATCCTATCGAACGACCGGTTCGAAATCATTCGGAGGCGATTCGAGTGAATCTCCGAATTCTCCTCCAGCAACTCGTCGATGTGGTAAGTTCAGCATCCTCTGTATTCTTATGCGTAATACGCAGATATACGCTATACCATGATCATAAAATACCATTTATTAATGGAAAATAGTATCGATTGCTTCTTGACAAAATGTGTGCTACTATGCATATTATGACATCAGGGCGCGTTCCCACTTTGCCCCACCTTTTTTTCTTGCAAGCTGAAAGGCTTCACCGTAGTCTTCATCGAAGGTCATATGTTCTGTCTCTTCATGAACCCTCCCTTTCGTCATTTCCATGAAGCTGCACTATGATGCCACCTACTTCTTTTCAACCTTCGAAAGCCATGATTTCCTTTTTTCTCGCTTTTCGAAAGCATTTATACTCATTTGGCTTTCTTTTTCAGCCGTCCCACAGACGCTCATAACAACTCATTTTTGGACTTGTTTTTTTAATATAATTTATTATTTTATTGACTTATTCAGAGTTACTCCATTGTGGACAGCGTGTTGCACCTTGTGCAGCAGGCTACCATGCGGAAAAGGCTCGTATCTGATTTATTTGCCATTTTTTTGCGTAACGAACTTATGATTGAGTTTTTTTTCAAGAGAGTCCCCTGTACTTGGATAGTAATGAAATTACTTCTAAATTATTGTTGCTGATGAAACAGATGACAAAAAACCTAGGAAGTTGCACACAAAGTGGCGGGTCGCAGTGAGTTAAACGATTAACCCTTTGACGACCGTTGTGGCCCGCCGGTGGGCCACACTTTCATTCGGAAGCGACTCGTTTTTCGTGGTTTATTTGGCTTTTTCCAACTTTCAGAACTACCCATGCAAATTATCGGATTCCGCAATACAATAGGGCTCGGATCACGAGATGAGGAAAATTGGTGGGAGCGACGTTAAACGGAAGCGAGTGATGGGAGAGACAGAACTTTGGAAGAGAGAAGAGAAGAGAGAATGACGCAACATTAACGGGCGCGGTCGTCGAATGCGGGTTACAAGAACTACTGTTTCGTTGATCCTCAAGGCTGGCAGTCTGGGTAAGGAGCCGTTACGCATTTTCTCTAACAAGATTACTGTGTAACGGTCTTATCTCACTCCTACAAACTTGCGAGTGAAATTTCATGAATTTTTTCTGCCGTCTTACGTCTTGATGATCTATCATTTCCGTTCCCTTCTATAATTACGTGATCTTACTTAGCAGTGCATTTACAATGATATCCTCGCCCAATTGCATAAGTTCATGTTTCTTAATTTGATTCATTTCTCCACTGTCATAGAGTTTCTCAAAAGCCATTCAAAAGTCGTGCTCCGGTTTTGAGATATTCGCCCTTTAATTATGAAATTATCTTTGTAGAGATCTGTTTCCGGAATGGATGAGACAATGAGGAATGCGTGAACGACATGAGGTATTCTGTCAACAACACGCACATAATGGGTAAGGTAAAGCCAATCCAAGTCTAAAACGCGATATTCCCATAGAGAGATCGTAATTGCCTTTTTTGAACGGGTCGTACTGGGTTTCGTGGGCTGCCAAGCGAAGTTCTGGAGTGAAATGTGTTTTACGTGATCGCGGGGAAAGATCAGTTCGAGTTGATGGTTTTTCCGATCTCAAAATTTTCCCCAACAAGATGGTCGACCCTGCTACAGTTTTGTTTTCTGACAATTGATTGACTTTTCATCAGCACATAAGCAAGAGTAGTGGAGCAAATCGAGTCGTTTTTGCAAGCTTCTCTGAAATCCCTTTTGAAAGCTATCCAACTGAGTTGCGAATCTAAAGTTAGCGATTATAGCACTGTTGCGCATTTGGGAACTCACAAAAGAATGGCCTCAGAAAATGGCAACTGTGAAGCATCTAAAACTTTGGTATTATAAATTATGGTGAGCTGGAGAGTCCTCAGCAAACTTATTGTCAGTATCCATGGAGAGCATAAAGGGAAGTGTAAGTTGGCTGGAATTATCGGTTGTTTTTCGGCAAATAATATATAGTATAGTTGATTATGTTTGCTGTATTTGGTGTCCTTCAAAACTCGCAAATTCCGTACATTATGGAACGTAACACTTCCATATTTGTTTTAGTAGGGGGTTTTCACGTGAGTTTCCTTCCAAAGCAGTTAATGAGTCAAGGCAAGCTCTTCGCTTGCGACTGAAACCTTTGGTGCCAGATTCATACTCGCCGGGACGTTCTCGAGCCCCTCTGCCTAGAATCAAATTCTCTCCATGTTTTAGATGAACCGAGTAACTCCGGCAGCATTCGATTTTGAACTCGGTTTACGTACATATATTCACTCGTTCAGCATGAGTAAAACCTTTTTGTTCCCATGTAAGCTCCATACAAGACCACACACATGGTCGTAATGTTTCCCGACTCGCAGGATAGCCTTACTAGAGCGTTCCTGTTGTTCAAGGAGTGCGTCACCCCAACCATGAGCTTGGACCTCTTCGGGTTCTTTGGTCACGAAAATCGGCATGGGGTTTCGGCATGAACCCTGTTCTGGCCAATATTCCAGCCTCGCTCC